GGTACTTTTCTACACCACTACAGGCAAATAATTCAAACGCTTTTATAAAACGCCACTATGTTCTTTCGTGTTGAGGCCTTTAAAATGTTGGCAAGCTCATCATAAATTCTGAAAGTCTTAGTTTTTAATTGTTTACCATTCTAACAAATAATTTGCAATACACGCAGAAGTTGGCACTCTTGTCAAAGGCATGTAAATCACAAAACAGATTTTACAGATGCCAACTTGCTCCGCTTCGTAAAAAAATATTTTTTAGAGATAATGAAGTTAAATTATTTTTTGGTTAGTATTTTTAAAATTAAGTAATTTCTCCACCACTACAAATCGAAAATTCGAATTATCATATAAATGCACCTTAATTTCTAACACAAATTCTCGCAATTATTCATTTAAAATGTGGGCGTAATAATTCTTTTCCTGCAAGGTTTACTTCGCGATGTAGTTATTATTACAATTGCAGAAAGCAGAGTATTTGGCATCCTTGCAGTGTCAGACAATTTTTTTCGTTATTAAATTCTTTAAGAAATATCCCTATTGAGTACTGATTTCCTTTTATCTCTGCATGGGGGAGAAATTTTTTAATTTGAAATTAAAAAATTCTTTTGGAATTATTATTTTTTTTAAAAATACGTAGCAGTTCTTAAATTTTCTTTGAAAAACACTTCCTATGTCTCTTAGCTAAAATTTTTATTCAATATCCTTTAGGGATTTTCCGGATATAAATTTTCTTTATACACACAGAAAAATCCAGTTGCTTATAACTAACCAGATATTGTTTCTTTTTCTTTCGAAAAATATTTTAATCGATGACTTAATTCATAAAAGCCTATTTAATGCATATATTTTCATAAAAATTAATTTTTCTTTATTTTACTGCTTTGATGCAGAAATGAAATTCAGACTTTATCTTATTATTCACCTTTTTTCCGTCTTTTTATGAGAATGAAGAATATTTCCAATGGAAGATGCAACTTTCTTGTCTTGTCATTCAAGCTGGGCACCTGGGCCCTGTTCCATATATGAAATATTGACATTTTGTAGGTTATGGAATTTCCATAACCGTCGGGCAAATTTGGAAGTTTTTTTCCCCTTTTGTACTGGTACAGGACAAAATAATACGAAAATTTCGATACTAATTTAATGCAAACATTCTTTTTCTTAGCAGAAAATGTTTTTCAATATTTCAAAACACGAAACTGTTGGCACAATTTAAAAGATAATCTTAAATTTTTTAGAAATGGTGACAGTTTAACCCATGGAAAACTCGGATCGCCCAAAATTAGAGGAGGAAATTAATAACTTCTTTTTAGTTTTATTACCTGCAATTTTGAAATAGTTCTCATTGCGAATATGAATTTGGGGTACGAAGTACCAAGCTCAGGGAGTTATCTTTTCCTTTCCCAAAAACTTTATAGATTAGAGGATGAGGAGGTAGGGGGGGGGAGTAGTTTCCGTTAACAAATGAATATGATGAAATTAAAACACTAAAAGGTTGTGTACAAGACAGATCAGGGGTAGGATAAGAACTACACTGATGGAAAAAAATCCCAACACCAAGAAAACATGATTTTAGAGTAATGAAATTTTGGCAATGCGTTTGTCTAAGTAACATATTTAATTGATTAAAATTTTAAGATCACAAGTTAATGCAATTAAGAGAAAAACCATTTCAAAAGCGAAATACTAGTACATTTATAGCCAGTATAACCACTAGAATTTTGAATGCAAGCATACAAACGGGCTAGCATTGTGTCATGCAGATGCCGTGAGTCATTTTGTGCGATGGAGTACCTTGCCTGTAGCATTTGGTCAGTCAATACGCGGATAGTTAATGCTGGTTCTGGATGACGCTGAAGTTGTCTTTTAATGATGTCCCATACGTGCTCGATTGGGGAAAGATCTGGTGATCTAGCAGGTCAAGGCAACATGTTGACATTCTGCAGAACATGTTTGGTTACAACAGCATTATGAGGGTCAGAGCTGTCATGTTGGAAACTACCCTTTTGAATGCCGCTCATGTATGGCAACATATCAGGTTGAATCACCAGGTTGACGTACAAATTTGCAGTCAAAGTGCGTGGAATAGCCACGAGAGTGCTCCTGCTGTTATGGAAAATTGCTTCCCTGTCCATAACTTCTGTTCAGTTTTGCTAGGCTGGGGACATTTCAAAAGCTGGCTCTCACATGGCCTTCTTCTAACCAATATGACCAAGGCAGAACTGACTTTCATCAGGAAACACAATAGATCTCTACTCTGTCCTCCGGTGAGCTTTAACTCGACACCACTCACGTCATAAACGTTAACGACAGTGGCTTGAAGTGAGTGGAATGCAAGCTGCAAGACGTCTCGCTCGGATCTGTACTTGAAGTAACCCATTTGTGACAGTTCGTTGTGCCACTGAAGTGGTAACTGCAGCTCGAATTTCTGATACAGACGTAGTATGGTTCGTACTCGGTGGATTTTCCTTTGAGTTGTGTCGCGTGGCAGTCCAGAACCCGGACTTCTTAAAGCAGTACCTCTCCTTGACCACTACTGCCAACAATCCCGCACAGTGAGCCGTGATGGCGCTCTGGGGATCGAGCGTTCGCCTTCCAATGAGGTGAACCGGGTTCGAATCCTAGCGATGGCTGATCGATACGAATACTGCATCCGGCTCTCACCGATCTCAGTGCTAACGTAAAATATATCCTCATTGGTAGACGGATCATGGACTAGAGTTCCCTTGCTTTCTGGCTGACTGTGGGAGGTTTTCGTGGGTTTTCACTCCATGTAAAGCAAATAAATTTCTGTTTTATAACTAGAGACAATAATTGCGAAGCGATGTTATCACATCCTGAGAGTAATCGGATTTTTACACGAAGCATTAGCTTAAATTCGATCATAAATCACCTTAAAACACGAATTAGATATGAACACTATTCATCGAGGTTGTCTCTCCAGTATTATAAATTATCTATCAACCTGAATGTTAAAATGTTTACACTTTAATCATTAGTAACTACTTAACTCTTTCCAGTTCAATGTGGCTTGTCTGGCAACACAATTCAACAAATATTATAAACGACTAGAAAAGTAAAACTAATTGCTGTTAAACGTTTGGCAACCACCATTCTTTTAATTAAGAGTAAAAATATCTGGCTTCAATTAGAATGTATTGTTTAAGGTTGCACTTGCCAATGTGTTGCCAGAAAAATTTTCAATGCTATAAAATTTTCAATACAATTCTGTACCAGAAAAGGTTCATGATCTCAACGTCTTATTTGGTAATCAAGCAAACTGTAGGTTTCGGCTTGTAAACTTTAAGTAATAGCTTCCATTTTTAATAATTGTTGAAAAGTTTTGAATACATAGGGTTAGTGAATAAGTTGTGCTACCATTTCGGAATAAATATTAGTATTTAATTTATAATAAAACTTGTGACGCAATAATTAGGTATATTTTGGGGCTTTTATGTTAAAATATTGAAATGACTAAAAAACTGATGGTTCCTTTCTTTTCTCATCTTTGAGATAATTCTAGCGGAATTCAGAAGCAAAATATTTTTATTACCCGACATCAAAAACAGGGTTCCCGTAAGCTGAAAATTTACTGTCTCCTTACAATTTCACTTCAATTAGCAACCACTGGAAAAAAACTTCTTAACGAGCGTAGAAGTTAGTAGTAAAGAATTTTTTTAAAACCAAGAGGGTAATTCATCCTGTTTTCTACCATTTTAGCTTTTAGAAAGCACTGGCGGTTCAAATTTAATTATTTACACTAAATGCATCGAGGTAACATAACTATCTTGTTTTTGCATAATAAGTCCTAATAATGAATAACCTGTGCCACCGTATTCGTATACGAATGTATTATTATTCCTTATTTGAAAAAGAAAAAAGGAACCGTACTTTGGAAAGGACGCCATGTACAAATGGGTTAAGGCTTAGAATTCTATTTAAATCGAAGTGACAATTAAAATAAACAAATTAATCACTGCATTTTAAAAGTTTGCTCTTAATTTTTTCTTAAATTTTATTTTTTTGTCCCCTAAAACTGTTGCCTAATGCGTTTTCATTTATAAAAATGATAGAAAGTATTGTATTTCACATATATCTTAATCCATTGCTCTACAACTTCAGCCCCAGAATCTAGGCTCGCTCGAACTTAATTCAATTCTAAGCCGCTCTCGAATCGCTAAAACATGTAGCACACGTGTGGCTCGCGAACCAAAGTTCCCGTTCACTGACTAAATCCACTTCCGCTGACATTGAGTTCAGGCTTAAATTTAAACTGTATCAAACATTTGGACACCTAAAGCGGGTTGCGACTCTTTTCCCATTCATCCTTAGCTTGATCTTTGTGCTGCTTCGATGAGGTTGTGGAATGCAAATGAAATAAAGGAGTATTCATGTGGTTCTGACTGTTTAGTTATATGCAGTAGGGTGATTGGGTGAAGGTAACACATTGCAGTGACATTAAAAGTAAATTGAAAAAAAAAAAAACGTGATGGGAAATCAGCACTTAAGCTGAAATTAAAATTTAGCATGTGATAATGGCTTTATTTTTAACCTTTTCGTTATTTCAGTCCGCTCCGCTGAAGTGCCGCCACTGGAAAGTGCGCCACGTCGAAAGTGCGCCACTTTAGTAACTAAAAATACTTCATCCCTAAATGCAACACGCAGAAGGAGCTCGTTTCCACTTACAAAACTTATTAAGTGCATTCAAAATACCCTTTTATGAGCATTAATTCAATTTAAGAAAATTAGCCAGTGGCAGTCAGAAGCAGATTAGGTCGGTTACCAAACCGTATCACGCTTAAAGAAGAACATAATGCAATTTTGTAAGTAATTTATGGTAATTAACACCTGAAAACTTTCTAGTATGGTATATAAACCTGATATATTTTACTAATTTTTAAATGAATGATAAAAATAATTTAACATTCCTATGTGTCATTTTTGTTTGTATAATCCATGATTGCATTCATTTTCTCAGTTAATTATTCTTTCAATTTCTTTAGCCCAATTAAAACCTTATAAATGTGACTTTGAGAATGGGATCTGTTCATTTCTTTCAAATGACGGTGCGAACAGCGTAAACTGGAGGATAGGAACAGGAAAAGTGAAAGCAGGAGATACCGGACCTACTATTGACCACACCAAAGGAACTTGTAAGTTTTAGTATATGATTTTAAACTCTCTGATTTTGGTATCGTTAATTAGTTTACCAATGATCGGTATTTTTTTGTTTGTTGAACAACTTCGGAATTAATGCAAGTTGGGTGCTTCCTTGTTGGCTTTTAAAATGTTACAATAAAAAACCTATTGTGAATTCAGCAAAAGTAATTATTGTACTAAATACAGATATTGGAGTTCTTTATAGTGAACACTTGGTTTTATGCCTGACATTATTCAACAATGTTTCAATTCTTGTTGAAAGTTTTCTAATTTGTCTTTATTGTATTTTTTAATTATTCTCCTCACAGTAAAAAACGTAAGATTTAAAGTTCGCTGTCTATTGAGGCCATTGCAAAAGAGGGGCATCAGGCCAAGGCTCCAGTTAATATACAGGCAAATCAATAAAATCTCATTTCCAGTTTTCAGAAGTTTTTCCATGATATTATTGAACGGTGCATATTCTTGCAAACATTTTTACCATAGAATCATTGTCTGACACAAACTATCAGCTAGATTGCCTTTTAGATCTGTAAAAATAATTTTGGAATATAGTACATTATTAAGTACCTGTTATAGTTTTTTTTAATTTTATTATAGCCTTCTGAAACTAGGGACGAAATTATAAATGAACCAAGCAAGCAACCGTCTACTCTGCCAAAACTATAGTATATATATATATA